AATTAGTTTAATTTTTATTACAAAATATAAATTTGTATGAGTTGTATGGGTCTTTCATCAAGCGCTTCTTATCTTTAAATTTAAATAAAACAAAGTGTCTGTGAAATATTATGAAAAAATTTATCCGTTTGATGTGTGGAATATAATTTTTCATGACTCTGGCTGAATTTGACCGATGACATGGGTATGTTGGCTTTGAGGACCGCTGTGGTTTGTGGCTTATTCGCATACACCTCCGACTCAAAATGATTTTATTGAAGCTATTGCACATGGAATTCAATGGTGATCGTTGCACAATATTTGTGCGTGATGCTTCGCAATAGAATTTCAGATTGTTTCGACCTTCACTTCTTGGTAATAAGAAATTGAACTCGGGTAAAAGAACCGTACTGTCAATATTGTTGTTGAGTAATTTATGCAGAAATTTTATACCAAGGATAACTCTCCTATTTCCCAAAGATGTCATATCAAATCGTGTCAACAATATGTTATGATCGATGCCTCTCGTGGGGTATTGACCATCAACTTTTAGACATAAGTATTTTAGGAACTTCCTTTGTACGCTCTCAATTGATGTTTTTTGGTAGTCGTAAACCGGATTCCTTAATAAAGAGCCATACTCTAACTTAGATCTGGCATACGCAATTTAAAGGTGGCAATACTTTTGAAGTTCTTGCCATTTCTGTAAATAAATCCAAGTATTCTATTTGCATCAGCAGTCATATTCCTCATATGTGTTTTGAAAGTCAATTTACTGTCGTATGTTATACCAAGATCTTTTATCTCATGTACGCGGTTGATTGTAGATTTGTTGATGGAATAATCGTACATTAAAGTTCGCTTTTTATTGTAAATGATATTATTTCACATTTGGATACGTTCAGTTGTAGACGATTATCATCACACCAAACTTTAATTACATCTAATTCATGGTGTACACATTGGCAGTCAGTAATGTCGTCGATTTCATAATATAGCTTCAGTCGTCTGCAAATAGTAGGCTAGGAATATTCAAAAAGGTTGCCAAGTTATTAATAAGAATTAAAAATAAAAGAAGTCCAAGATTAGAACCTTGTGGTACCCCAGATGTAACTACGTACTGAGCCGATTTGAAAGATTCATATTCGACGAATTGTTTTCTGTTAACTAAATATGATTCAATTAGAGTAAGCAGTTGGTTAGAGAGTCCCAATTTTTTCAATTTGCTGAGAAGAACGTAATGGTCTATTTGATCGAAGGCTTTTTGAAAGTCTAAATAAACAACATCGACTTGTTTTTGCTTGTCCAGGTACTTACAGAGATATTGATTCAAACATGCAAGATTTGTCATATTTGATCTTTGTTGTACGAAACCATGCTGAGTAGGAGAAAAAACTTTTTGAATATGGGAGTACATAACATTTTGCATACATATCTCGAAAAGTTTAGAAAAGTTAAATAAAACTGAAATTGCCCTGTAGTTTGTGAAATCGCTAGAGTCGCCTTTTTTGATATCGGACAAATTCGAGCCGTTCTCCACTGCTCAGGGAAGGCACAAGTTGATAAAATCAAGGCGAATATGCCTATTAGAGGTATAGGAAGAACGTCGATACAGTCCTTTATCACGAGACTAGGAACATTGTCAAAGCCTGCGGTGAGTTTATTTCTTAATTTTTTTTGAAGCAGTAATAATATCGATTTTAGAGAAGGCAGAGATGTTTAATGCATCTAAATCAGAATCACGAGAATTTTCACGAAGCATATTCTCGTCCGAAATCAAGTATACACTTCTGAAGTACTTGGCGAATCTATTGACAATATCCCCAGGCTTATCAAATACCTCATCATAAGTTTCATTATACCCGGTATACGCGAATGACCTTTTTTACTGTGTATGAAAGGCCAGAAAGTCGAGCTGTCAGATAAAATCTTATTTTCAGCTAAGTTTGTAAATTGACTATATGCTGCTTATATTTTAGTTTTGACAGTTTTTCTCAGATCCGATAATTGATTTTGATAAAATGCTGTTTTATATTTCTTATAGTTTTTATATGCTGATTCCTTTTTCTTTATATGGCTGATAACGTCAGCGTCGAACCAGGGGGTAAATTTACGTGTTTTCAATATTCTCAGTGGAAATGTTAGAAAGAAGATGCTGTATAATTTTTTATATAATAAATCACATGCCGAGTCGATGTCAGTACATTCAGAAAAGTCACACCATTCGGTTGTTCTGATCAGTTCATACATAGCTGGAGAGTTTGCTTTGCGAAAATTAAATTGCTCAATAGCGTCTGTTGTATTAATAGCAGTCATTGACATGAGGAGTACGACAGTTCAATGAAACAGAAAGTGCAGGATGATGAACGTCTATGCTAATAAAAGGTTGATCACATTTCGAGACGATACAATCGTCACAGTTGCTTATAACTAGATCCAGTTTGCGATTATTAATATTCGTTATCGAGTTGTAGTGTTGGGATTCAGTTGCTTGCATGCATATTCGTGCAGAATATCCAATGTATCATGAGCTGTGTGGCTGTAGCACCGTCCTCTTGGTTTCCATATTATCCAACTTAGGCCAAAAGAAATTGATAATTGTAGGATAGTAGTGTGAATCATCCTGTAAGTTAAGGATGAACAGTTTTAGTTTTTATATTCTGTTGACGGTAATGGCCTGGTCAACGTCGTTCTCAAAGAAAGATGGACCGATGACGCCGCCAGCCGAAAATCCACACAAAACGCTGACTTTTTCGGAATGCATTGAGCGCCTTGTATCTCGTGTGAATTGGTATCGTCCCAAATTCAACAATTTGGATTGTTCACGTACCCATTCATACAGAAAAGTGAATCATCTCTGAAGATGATTTCTCGATGAAAGTTATGGTCAGTTGTCAACTACTCCAGAGCCCAGTCAGCGACCACACTTCGTTGTCTATAGTCGTTCACCTTCAGTTCCTGAGTCAGTTCATTTTTGTACGGGTGCAGGCTCAAGTCACAACGCAAAATTCGCCAAATTGTGGTCTACCAAAGGCCGAGTTCTTTTGAGCGAAGCTAAATCGACTGTCTGGAATTCTCCTGCACAGTCTCACAGACAGCGGCAATGTTTTTGCCAGATCTTTCGTTTCGTCGACGCACGGTTGTTGGTGGATCGTTAACTGAACCAGAGGACTCAAATTCATCCACCACATTGCGGTAAGACGGTAAGACGAATATGGCGACTTGATAATGGGCGAAGCGCCCGGTCCATTGACAGAACAGAACATCCATTTTGATGAAACAATTTTATTATTTGCACGTGTTCTTGGGTGCTATATCCGTCCATGGTGATTTGCCAAAACATACTGAATGAATTACAACTGATCTGACAAATGTATCTTCAACAAGATGGCTTTTACCAATTGTCAAATTTCGAAAGTCCCTGTAGGAAGACCCTATAGAAATCTGAAAGGTCTTGAAAAATAATCGACAGAATCATTCAATTTTCTGCTACTCTAGTGATTAATGAGATAGCGGATAGTAACGATGCTATCTGAGTGGCTAGAGGAGTTATTAACATAGCCAGCACAAAACACTATGATACTAGCCATGATTAATTGATGGTGAAATGATCCATATCAGTTTCATTCATTTCCTTCAAATGAGTATGCTACTTGAAAAATCCATAATCCATTCATCAACGTCGCGTCGCTGCTAGCAGTTCTAATAGTGCTACATAACCAAAATTAGAACCATATTTTGTTTGAATTTCGCTGAGAAACTCAAAACTATTAAATTTATCAGAATTGATTTCTTTTCTGTTTGTTTTGATTTCATTTCGTTTCTGTTCTTCCATCAATGCCAAAGAGATATTGACAGTTTTAACGGATAGCAATACATTAACGAAACTAAATGAGTAAAGAGAAGGAGAGGAAAGGAAAACATAAGAAGGTAAGGGTTAGAGAGAGAGAGCACAGCAATTTTTGAGAACTACACTGAATACTCAGTGTGTAGTTTTTGAATTTAGATTTGAATACCAACGGCGATAGTTGTAGGTATGATCCATCCAATTCATCCAAATTATTTATGCAGAATGCCATATTGTAGGAAAAGGACCGTTTGTATATTTCTTTACAGTGTGAAGGTAAAGTAGGAATGGTTTGTTTACGAATATTCAAATTATGGATGTCCGTTCTATAAGAGAGTTTTTCATGTAGATAAGGTGGAGTCTTTGATTTAAATATATCATGAAACTGGCAAGCTATATGATGACGTCGCCTGTTGTGCATATTTAGTCATTTGAGCTCTTTTAGTTTATCGGTAATTGATATACGACTGACTTTTGTAATACCACAAATTAGACGAACACATGAGTTCTATACTTTCCATTCATGACGAATTTCGACTTGATTAAGACAAGGACTGTAAACAACATCGCAATAATTAAAATGAGGAAGAACCAAGGTGTCACATAACATTTTTTTGAGGTCTTTTGATAAAAAGTGTCTTGGAGGAAAAATTAGCTTTAGAGAAGCGTATGCGATTCTCAATTTATTAAGTAACGTGTTCTTTGAAGCGAAGTGTTGTATCAATTGTAAGTCCCAAATTTTTACAAGAAGTTTCAATAGGTATTTTCTGTCTCCAATTTTGAATATAACGTTATCAGACAACAAATCTGAAGCATTATCTTTTCCAAAAAGTAGAGCCATCGACTTGTTAGGATTGATTTCAGTCCATGATCAACAGATACCTTGTGCAAGGAAGTCAAATCGTGATTGATAGACTCCGTGGCAGCTACCAAATCCGAGTATCTAAAAGAGAAGTAGATCTGCGTATCGTCCGCATAGAGATGATATTTACAAAATTTCAGTACGTCAACGAAGGTTGAGGTATGAAGCAAACACATTGTAATCTACACACAGAAAACAACTTTTGAATAATCCAGAATTTATATCACTTGAGATATGTAAGTAGAATGGAACATTCATCAACTCATCAGTGAACGTTAGCATCCAAATTTCCATTTGAAATGAAACAGTATATCTCACAAAAACTACGTTTTTATTACGTTTTCATATGCGCATGCTGAATTCCGCGTTATTTGAAACCAGTGCTCACAATAGAAAAGGTTCCTAGAGAACTGCATGGTCAAATCGTATGAAGCCAATAAAATTAATACCTTATATACCTTATAAACTGATACCTTATATATACACAAACAGTGATTTTCGACATTCATTGTTTTTTTCAAAACAAACACCAGGCAACATCCGCAGATGAAAAATTGAACACATTGACCATAAATATTCGATACTCACTGAAAACATAAGGTATTATGTGATAAATTATCACGAATGTGATTCGTTCTCTGTCTTCAACTGCAACGTTTCCTTCAAAATCACTTGTAGAAACCATAGCATTCGAAATCCAACCACAGATACCACTATTTCGAGTTGCCATTGGTCTTATCAGTTGTGCTAGGATGGACCTAGGTTTTATTAATTCTGGATAAAGTCTTCTATAGATTCTATAGGTGGTGTTGGATGCCTTGTTTTTGGTTTCAACTGCATTTGTGATTCACCCCACTACCATTGCCACCTAGCAGGACGAATCAGCATGTGGTAATATATCATTAATGCTTCTTCTGGATTCTGGTTCCATCCACAATTATTTGTTTATTTTACAAATTAGTGTTCTGAAAAATTTGTGAAGTTATTTCTATTTCAAACAACAGAACCGAATATTTCGATCTCATTTTATTTCATTTGTTCTTCTATATATTTGAAATCTCTTGACTTCTTTACAGTCACTCGGAGTTCTCACTTGGATCTTTAAACATTTCTGTTGTATGTGAAAAGTTGACATTGTAATTGAACCTGACAGAAAATTAACACAAAGGCTTGAAAGATTATTGATTTCTGAGAAAATATAATCCAAAAGCCATGAAAGCACTTTCGTTATTTTATTACACGGATGAATTTCGTCATTTCTCCTCCCATCAAAAATGATTTTCCTCAAAACTTGGTGAATACCGACCACAAGTATCGAAAGTAAAAATGGATTGATATCAAATTTTCTGGTTCTCAACATCATTAATTGAGTACATTTTCAAATAACATATGCAGCCCTTTCTAATATACCGCAATAGTTCAAGTATTCGTTCCTGGAAAATTTTATGAATCCATTTTCTCCCCAAAGAGGACCCCAAGAATTTTTCATTATCCAGTAATCGTATCCATTTTCTGTTCCATATCCAACAACTAACAAACAATGATTGACATACTCGGAGCACTCTTTATCGTAATAAACCCCGCTTTTATAAAACCTCCATTTTGATGTCACATATATGCAAACAGATAAAGGACCATAGTCAATCAAAGCGTCTTTCATGTTCGACCCAGAGTTCTGAACATATTTCAGTTCGTCGAATGTGAGGTTGAAAATCTTTGTCTTTACTGGATTGCATTTCAATTCTTTTCCTTGATAAGGATAATGAGATTCGGAGTTCAGTCCATATTCTTTGGCGAATTCAAACGCAAATTCAGGGTCTCCCCCCGAACAGTTGGAATCCCATAAACAATCTACAATATTCTGCATGCTGAGGGATACTAACGCGCCAGTTTTTCTGAAGTAGTAGGCTTCCAGGACACCAACCTGAAAATAGAAAAGTCCTTAACATGTGACAACCAATATGAAACTTTATGACTTCAGATTAGGAAGATGCAATATCGTGGGAAAATTCCACTCATAGAGGTCACCGTAAAATTATTATTTTGATTTGAGAATTTGTGTGGAATGGGGCCAAATTTAAATATAAGGTTTTATCTCAAACAAAATATTTTATTTCCAAGTTCACAAAAAAGTTGGCAAGTTTGAATTTCTTCACTGTTTCAAAAATAACCAGCAAAAAAATATACTCACACTGTCGTGGATAATAACTATGGAGGAAGGAAGGTACTGAACTTTTTTTTTCCAAGTAAAATAATAATTAATAGTTGATATAAAATTTCTAGAGAGATAATGTCCAGCTTTTGGAAGGTATTGAGGTACGAAGGAAGGGTGGACAATAAAATTCTGTCAATGGAGCAATCTTTGGCAGAAAAGAAAATAACTTTCAATACATCCGCACTCCTCCCGCACTCCTCAAAGAGTGCGGATGTATTGTGAGATGATTTTCCTAATAAACAATCAATACTGATCCGGATTAAAAATATACCAGCAGCAGCGCAGTCTATTGAGAGACGAGTTACTGAAATGACAAAAAATGTAGGGAAACAACAGATCGATACCATTAAACAGAATATCGTATTTAGTATTTGGTTGAATGAAAGTGTTGACAATAATGACAATTTGGCAATCGTTGCTCGGTACTTCGACAATAACCGTGTTGTATGAAGAAATAATATGTCTGCTTCCATTGGAAGGAATGACAAGGAGCGAAAATATATTATAAGAATTCGTTAAACATTTTCAGAAACATTTTCATATCAATTTATATTATATTAGACAATAGAAGTCCGAACTGATGGAAAACATCCCGTATTGTGGATGAACAATTCATGTCTTTTGCATTACGATAATGCTCACCGTAATCCTGCTTCAGCCACCTGATTTGGCTCCTTGTGACATTTTCCTGTTACCAAAATCAAAGAAACTCACGAAAGGACGGCGTTTTGCGGTGATTAAGGACATAAAAACCGAATCGCTGAAAGAGTTCAAGGACATACCAATAAGTGCATAACAGGACTACTTCGATAATTGGAAAAAACGAAAGCAAAACTGTATTACATCTGAGAAGGACTACTTGGAAGGGGAGGAAATGGTAATTGATTAATAAATGAGCATTTTTTAAGAATAATGAAAATTTGACTCATTTTTTGAACAGAAAACGTATATTGAAATAATTGTATTTGATACAAAACAAATAGCGGAGATTTGGCGACTTTGCAATGCATAATCCATGATAGAAATATCGTGAGTTGAAATCCTCCAGATATTTTTGTGGCGAAGGTATATTCAGTTGGGGATGATATTTTTCAACTTACGTGGCTAACGGAAATGCAAATAGCCAGTATGCTCCTTGTTAGGTGGCTAGGGAAATCATTATCCTAACCTACCTGTAATACGTGTTGATGGCCATAATAGTTGATAAAAAAAAATAATCAAGAAATGAAAAACAAATATTACCGCACTGAATATCCAGCAAGATGCACAATGTCCTTGATCCTTCGCTGGAGTGACAGCACCTTTTTCTCTCCAGTCGAAATAATCGTGGTTATCCAATTCACTTAGACCACGTAGTAGATTTTTCTTAGTATCTCTTTCATAAATTGTAGTCAAAATAGTTTCTTCTAAGCTATACCTTTCGTTGAACTCTTCTTTGGTCAAATCGGCAAATATATTCACTCCTTTTTCGAAAGTAGACAAATTTCTCCTGAATTTTCTATTATGATTCCTGATCTCCCTGACATTTGCCAAAAAAATCCTAAAGCGTCTATCGTCTTCTTTCTCAGTAATATATGTTTTATTGTAACGAAACTGAAAATTACGGAAAAGGTAAAAATTGAATGAATTTGAACGATATTAGGTCCGATTCATGTTCTCAATGAAAATTTAAATCGATATAAAACTAAGAGGCTATTGAAAGTCCACTTTGACGAGCATAAGAGAAATATGCGATGAGAAACCAGAAAATCGGGAATAGCAGAGTATGTTTGGACTCATCAACATAAAATCAAGGGGAAGAACACTGGTTCAAGAAGAAGTTCAAAGAAGCTGCATATATGTTGTCCAACGCCGCATTCAGCTAAGCTAGGCTAGTAGAGATACGCATTTTTTTTGCTCATTTTTATTTCTGTTCTGTTTCATTTCCCTTTACTCTGTAGTAATTTTCATCAATTACCTTGATTATTTTATTCGTCTGACCTGACCTGATAAACAACATATATGGCAACATCGAAATATCTGAAAACATATACGTGTAGATACTTCAATTATCTCTCAAAATCCTTCAATTTCTTCAATGACTGCGAACATGCCTACATATACAGTGCATTTCTTTAATGTACGTCCCTTTTATTTTTTTAACGGGTCAACTCAAAAAATTTATATTCAGTAGTGAAATCAATGCATAAATACTTCATTTTGAAGTGAAATTGACAGATGAAATTTTCAAGATGGCGACTGGACGCCATCTGGGAAAAAAAATTAAATGGAAAGGGGGATCTTGTGACACATCTTTTTAAAGCTCCTAACAACCCCTGACTGTAATCTTCTTCAACTACTACAAAATGGCGAAACTTTCAATAATTGCCTGACTACATTGATATTTAACTATATAATATGAGGTAATAAGATTGAAGTAATTTCAGAAGATGCTCGAAATGGTTGCTTTGAACTTTTTGACATACGAACAGCCTATCCGATATTTCACGCCAAAAATTTTCGAACACAGTAACGTCAATATCTCTAAAAATATTTATTATTATCTTCCGTATATCCAATATTGAAACCGGTTCAGTTTTGTACACCTTTTTCTTCAAATAGCCCTATAAAAAAGTCCAAAGGTGTCAAATCTGGCGAGTGGGCTGGCCATTCTGTAGGACCTCGACAGCCAATCCAACGACCGGGAAAAGTAGTTTCCAAATAGTTTCTTAATCTGGTGCTCCATCTTGTTGGGATACAACATACATTTCGAATCCAATAGGATTCGCTTCGAAGATTTCAGTGATAAGAGGGTCAACAGTAGTTTCCAGCATATCCAAATATAGTTCCCCTGTTGAATATTGATCAATAAATATACGTCCTACAATATGGTTTCTCAATATTCCTATCCAAACGTTGAATTTCTTCTGGATATTGGGTATGTGTTTCCCGGAAAACGTGAGTGTTGGTGTCACTTCAATAACGATAATTTTGTCTGTGAACATTGTCGTTTGCAAAAATGTACATTCGTCACTAAAACAAATATTGTGAATATAGGTAGGATGCCTTGCAATGGTTTCTGTCATGATTTTGCAGATTTCTGTTCTTCGATCAGGGTCATCTTCAGTTAATTGGTGTACCATTTTAATTTTGTATGGATGATACCTTTTCCTCTTCAAAAAGTCTCCACACAGTAAAAGAAGGCACCTCACAAACATTCCTGACGGAATAAGTAGACTGTTCAGAATTTACTACCATCTCACCAATTATTTGCACTTGCTGTTCTTCCGGAATGGACGGATGACCTGGAGGCTTTTTGTTATGAACACTACCGGTAGTTGCGAATTTGAAAACAACTTCCCTCAAATATTTTCTACAGATAGGACGATTCGGAAAATGTTCTTTGAAAATCCTTTCGATCTCGAGAAAGTTACGAGTCGCACCGTAAAAGAAAATCGCTTTAATTTTTTCTTCCGATGGAAGAGAATTGATCATTTTAGAGATTGTTGACGTGGTACCTTTCTACTAGTAAAACCGAAAACTAAATGAGAATATTCTAACTGAACAATAATGTTCATTGTCGTTCTGACATTTTTTGTTTTTATCCTATATGGCGCCTAGTCGCAATCTTGAAAGTTTCATCTGTCGATTTCACTTCAAAATAAAATATATATGCAATACATTCATTATCCCAAATTTCAATTTTTTTAGTTGTCCCGTAGGGGGGGGGGCTTGAAGATATGCACTGTATATGAAAATGGTGATTTCTTCACAGACTTACCTTGAACTGACCCCAATCATCTCTCAATGAACAATTTATATCATTCCAACAAATTATCAATATTATAGCTTGTAAAGTGAATTTCATTTTCACTCTAAACACACCAATAAATGCTTCTACAAAACTTGCGTAGAATAAACAGTTCGAAATCAACTTCATATTTTACATTTCATCACATATTACAAAAGTGCTTCCTGAATTATGCAGTAAATAGTACGGTCGCATAAACAAAAAAAAGTACCCAAATTTGGTTATCAGTATCCACCAACGTAACTTTTTTGTGACTAGTTATGATTGAATTGGGAATATATTTTGAATTTATCTCAGGCCAAAAACGATATTCCAACCATTCGATGAATTTTATAATATTCATATGAAGGAAGGTTTTAGCCCTCTACTTCTTCATCTTTAAGGTGCGTATTCACCAAAAAAGCGAGCACGAGCGAACATGAGCGAACACGAGCATACATACACAAATGCTCGCTCATGCTCGCTCGTGCTCGCTTTTTTTGGTGAATACGCACCTTCAGATTTTAATGTTGTGAACTCCATTTTTAAGATATAATGCGGAAAGCGTGAATTCAGTTTCATTTTAGTTTTTGAGTGAGACTTTAACTGGGTTGCTAATGATCGAAGTAGAATATTGAGGTGCGTATTCACCAAAAAAGCGAGCATGAGCGAGCATTCGTGTATGTTTGCTCGTGTTCGCTCATGTTCGCTCGTGCTCGCGCTTTTTTGTAAGTACGCACCTTTAGATTTTATTGTTGTGAACTCCATTTTGGGAAGATATAGTGCGGAAAGCGTGAATTCAGTTTCATTTCAGTTGTTGAGTGGGACTTCAACTGGGCTGCTAGTGATCAAAGTAGAATATTGAGGTGCATATTCACCAAAAAAGCGAGCACGACCGAACATGAGCAAACACGAGCAAACATACACGAATGCTCGCTCGTTCTCGTTTTTTTTTTGGTGAATACGCACCTTCAGATTTTAATGTTGTGAACTCCATTTTGGGAAGATATAGTGCGGAAAGCTTGAATTGTGTTTCATTTAAGTTGTTGAGTGGGACTTTAACTGGGTTGCTAATGATCAAAGTTGTAATTAAGGTGCGTATTCACCAAAAAAGCGAGCACGAGCGAGCATTTGTGTATGTTTGCTCGTGTTCGCTCATGCTCGCTCGTGCTCGCTTTTTTGGTGAATAGACACCTTCAGATTTGAATGTTGTAAACTTCATTTTGGGAAGATATAGTGCGGAAAGCGTGAATTCAGTTTCATTTTTGTTGTTGAGTGGGACTTTAATTGGGTTGCTAATGATCAAAGTTGAATATTAAGGTGCGTATTCACCAAAAGGGCGAGCATGAGCGAGCATGAGCGAGCATTCGTGTATTTCTGCTCGTGTTCGCTCGTGCTCGCTTTTTTGGTGAATACGCACTTTTATACGAAGAATTTGGTAATCTTTCAAAGAAAGAAAGAAAGGACTCAGTTTCATAACAAACTCTTCACAAATATTTGTAGATAATGCAAAGAAGTACCTTTCAGACACAAACTAGGAACAACTACTCTCATATAAACATTGAGTTACACGAAAAAAAAAATACGGTCAAAACAACTATTTTATATGAACACACTTTTTCCTGTACAGTTTGTATTCCAAACATTCGCAGACTTATGGAAGTCGGAAAGGATGTCAATATTAAACCTATGTTTGCAACATTGAGGATCATGCAAATGATGTGATGTGTGATCATGATTGTTACATATTCAAATGAGAATTACCCGAAATGAAATAACAGATCATAATAACAAAATAGAGTACTCGAATATGCAATGATTACACAACGGAACAAAATTCAATTGTTTTCTTTACGTAGAATTCCATGGTTGTTGTTTACTAATTCGGAGTCGCTGCTTTCAAATCTACTATTTCTATATTTCCAATAGCTCTATGTTTTGGGACTTTATGTGTGTACTAGTTACACTTAACATTCATAAGAATAAGAAAAGACCCCATCTCAAGTATCAAACACCAATACGATACGATACCTCAAACCATCAGAACTATTGTTATTTTTGCGTGGTTGTTATAAACGGGATTGATCAAAGAAAGTGGTCCAAATGGTTTTTCCCTTACGTGTCATCTATTACTCAGTCAATCCTGTACTCTGGCGATGCACCAGTGGCCACAATAATCTTCATTTTCACAAAAAGATCACCACTTTGATGAAAAAAATATCTTCTTCAAGTGATGGAAGTGGAACAACTGATTTCAACATATTTCTCCTGAGCCCTTCAACCAGAAAGAGCTCAACATCAGAGACATTGATGTCATTGGAGATCCTAGCTTCTCGATTGAAACAAAAAAATCTTTCAGCCCAAGAATTTTGTACTAATGCCACAGAGGAAGAGATTTACTTACATTTTTTTCTGAAGATGATGACTTTGTTCATCGAGCTGAATGAGGCTAAATAAATGGTTTCAAAACTGAACTTTCAGTTTTGAAACTAAATTCTGCAGAACTATATATTTCATTTGGTGATTTTATCTGGCCTACGAATATCCCAATTTTCCAATTTCTTCGTATAACTGTACGAACAGAATTCAAACAAATGAAGGCAGCGCTGTTATGATGGAAATTATGTGGGTGTCTTCAATAGCTCATAATTTTGTTTTTACCCACTCATGCAGAGCAAGAACTTCGCGAAACAAATCAACACTGTGATTGTTACTCATAGTGATCAGAATGTAATGGATATAAAAACGAAAAACATCCCGAATAAAATTTGTATATCATGCATTGTTGAAAGTTGCAGGTGATCCTGCAGTTTTGAAGGGTTACATTTGTTTAGCTCCAGGATGGTGTCTGTATACATTTATTTGTACTCTTTTCATTCCAGATTTATTACGTCACTTCTTGAAATACTAATTGAGTAGAGCTGAGTGGAAAATCAGGAAAAATATTACTTATAAGATTCATGTCAATAAAGAAAATACTGAAAATGGTACTAAAATTACCTCACCAGAGTATAATCAGTTCAGATTCACACTGTAAATGGAGATTAACTCAAAAATTAATAATAGTATCATGTCGATAAATGGATATATCTAATGCTCACAAAAATTGAAGTTATTTTCAGTAAAGCCTGTAAGTTTTCCGCCAAGATGTAACTGTAGTCTTTTTTTACCAGGAAGGGGACAAACTTGGGAGCACGTACTTTTCTGATTAAAAAAATGAGCATTAACTATCACGTTGACGTGGACAGTGACAGCGATTGAAGGACGAAATTCCGGAAAACTGGCTCTATCTGTTTCATTAAGACAATGCAACATGTCACGAATCAAAGAAAACGATCTCAAAATTGCATAAATTGGGCTTTGAATTGCTTCCGCATCCACCGTATTATCCAGATCTGTCGCCCAGCGACTTTTTCCTCCCCTCAAACATCAAAAGAATGCTTGCTGGAAAGAAATTTAGCTCCGATGAAGGGGTAATCGTCGAAACTGAGGCCTATCTTGGGGCTAAATACAAATGGTCCTAAAAATGGTATCGAAGAATTATATGTATCACCGTTTTACTCGTAATTGTAGTATCTCCCTCGAAGTATGTATTGGGCTTCGAGTTGGTTTCGTATTCTCCTTATCTGGTCCCCAGCGAATTTTTCCTGTTTTCAGACCTCGTACCCTAAAAATGGTATCGAAGAATTATATGTATCACCGTTTTACTCGTAATTGTAGTATCTCCCTCGAAGACAACTATATTGAATAATAAAATTAATTTTTATGAACGAAAAATGTTTTTTTACTTTAGCCTGGAGATCAAATACTCAAGCGCACGCCACTGCAGATAGAAAACGACCTGAACGCTCATAACATCTTTTATTTGCGACCAGTTTGCGATGCGAGAATAGGGTGGACTCGGCAATAAAACCCGCCAATAAAATCTGTAGCAAATCTCAAAATTCTATTCGAGCACTCTGTTAACGTTTTGAATTTATGAAAAGCACTCATCAGTTTTCATTACTAGGAAACAGAGTATAGGTTAATATACAAAACAATTATTTGAATGATGCATTGAACTATGACACTAGGTATATAGGAAAGCTGTCATATTCGTTTCTCATTCATATAGGATATTTTTACTGGTTTGATGAAATAAAATTGCCATTCTTGAAGAGATTCTGAAAAAGAATCTTTTTGGCCGTCTTCATACAAAAATGTGAGAAACTTCCGAAGGGAGAAAGAAGCCAATTAGAAATAAGTATGAAGCCAAAACACTTCTAGAAAATTTTATTTCCGTTGCATTCATAAAAAGCATTCATAAACGCATTTATAAACGCATTCATAAAAGCATTTATGCAAAGCAGTCGTTCTTGAAATTTGTATTTTCGTTGCATTCATAAAAAGCATTTATAAACGCATTTATAGAAGCATTTATGAAAAGCATGTATGAAAAGCAGTCGTTACCTTTGGAGAGATTCTGGGAAAGGAGCTTCTTGGCCATCTTCATACAAAAAATGTGAGAACCTTCCGGAGGAATAGAGAAGCCAATTAGGAATATGTATAAAGCCAAAACACTTCTTGAAATTTGTATTTTCGTTGCATTCATAAAAAGCATTTATAAACGCATTTATAGAAGCATTTATGAAAATCATTTATGAAAAGCAGTCGTTACTTTTGGAGAGATTCTGGTAAAGGAGCTTTTTGGCCATCTTCATACAAAAAATGTGAGAACCTTCCGGAGGGATAGAGAAACCAATTAGAAAAAAGTAGAAAGCCAAAACACTTCTTGAAATTTGTATTTTTGTGGCATATCCACTTAGTTTAAAACTTATGATTTTATCCAACCCGAATGATTCACTGATCTAGAACGTCACGTATGAAGGAAAGCAGTCTATATTTAGCATTATGTTTCGTCCTGAAAAGGAAATTTCACGGTAAGAGCAATCAGTTGCACGTTGTTTCCCTGCCATATATTCCATGTGATGAGTCCATATACAGTAGCAGCCCGAACTTGTGCGCGACAGTTATTGCAAACGATATTGGGTTGCAGAATGCTGTGTCTGACAATTGAAACCGTCATCTATCCCTAAAAGGAATCCGTGTAAGAAATTCGGGGAAGTAGAT